TCTCCTCTCTTCTCCATCACCACACCGTCTCATCATCATCATCATCTTCTTCTTCGGTCCTGCACCGGCAGCCCGCAGGCAGTGGAGGCAGCGTCTCCTCTCTTCTCCACTACCACACCGTCTCATCATCATCATGTTCTTCTTCGGCCCTGCACCGGCAGCCCGCAGGCAGTGGAGGCAGCGTCTCCTCTCTTCTCCACCGCCCGCTAGGCACACTTCGCTTTGCCGCAACAGCCATCCCATCCATGGCCCCCTCCCAAGAAGTCGCTCCCCCTGCCGCCGCCATCACCAAGGACCCATCCACCAACGGCAACGGCAACGGCAACGGCACAGCCGCAACAGCCCCCAAGACCAAGACGCCTGCGCTGAACGAGCGGATCCTCTCCTCCATCACCCGCCGCTCCGTCGCCGCCCACCCGTGGCACGACCTGGAGATCGGCCCCGACGCGCCCACAATCTTCAACTGCGTGGTCGAGATCCCCAAGGGGAGCAAGGTCAAGTACGAGCTGGACAAGAAGACGGGGCTCATCAAGGTGGACCGCGTGGTCTACTCCTCCGTCGTCTACCCGCACAACTACGGCTTCATCCCGCGCACCCTCTTCGACGACTCCGACCCCATCGACGTCCTCGTCATCATGCAGGAGCCCGTCGTCCCGGGGTGCTTCCTCCGTGCCAAGGCCATCGGACTCATGCCCATGATCGACCAGGGCGAGGCCGACGACAAGATCATCGCCGTCTGCGCCGATGACCCCGAGTACCGCCACTTCAACGACATCAAGGAGTTGCCTCCCCACCGCCTCGCCGAAATCAGGCGATTCTTCAAAGACTGTAAGTCATTCATACTCCTGATCAGATCAGGTTAATTCGTCACAAGAGAATGTGTTTTCTTTTGTTTCTGAATGTGTTTCTTTGATTGATTGATTGGGGGATTCAGACAAGAAGAACGAGAACAAGGAGGTGGCCGTCAACGACTTCCTGCCGTCAGAGGACGCCTACGAGGCCATCCAGCACTCCATGTCAGTTCTCTCCTTCCTCCTCCACTACCAACATATGTGTTATTCACCACATGAGCAATTAGGAACGAATTGTTTGAGTCATATGCAAATGTAATTGAGCTGATGTTGGGTCGTTTTCCTTTGTAGGGATCTTTATGCTACTTACATTGTCGAGGGCCTGAGAAGATAGGAGGAGGATGCTGCCTAATGGATGGTGATCTGGTGATGCTTGCCACCTGCTGCAGGAATCCATGTTGGCGAAAAAATTATGCATGTACATTACATTCTTGTTTTGTGTTACATCCATACCTACATATATATGATAGTATATGATCGAGCTACAGTCGTCTTAAGCCTTGATTAAGGCAGTAGTAGTGGCTAGGTGATAAAAGGAAGCCATGGAGCAATGGAGGATTGTGGGAGCTGCATGCTTAGAGTACCCTTTTGGGCATGTACCGTGAGATATCAACTTGATACTCCATGATTTTCTTTGTTGTTTTTCTCCATCACTCACTGTTCACTTGATCAAACATCTTTGTCGCTCTCTCCTGCTAAGCCAATGAAAAACAAGCAATTGCTGGCTACTTAAAAAAAGCCATTCTTTTTCCAACTACCTTATGTAATATGATTTCTAATTGAAAGATCTGATACTTTGAAGAAAATAATCAACAAAAGCGAGTCCTCTTCATGACAAAGATAGCTTGAAAGGAACTACTAGAAGTCTTGCAGCAACGGATCACAAAGATTATTATTTATCGAATTGGCCGGATTCCTACATTCATTATGAAAAAAAAAGTTGCTCGATTAATTAGAAAAAAACCGAGCGAAAACCGGATTGCCCAGTTATTAATGATAACTGGCCGAAACCATCACAACTGTTGAGCGGGCACACACAGATACCCATGCACACCCATCCAAAGAGAGTCTCGCCGAGACAGCACACAGGCGGCATCGTGTCATCACTTCTGCCCTAGAGGCATCATCGTCATCCCTAAACCCTGAGCAAATGACACCGACTTCAACGTAGGCAATCGTTGTCTCAATCCACACTACAAAGGACATGTGGAGTTGTATGAATATCTGTGCCAAAACTCAACCACCCACGACCAAACAACACAACTCCAACTCTAACGGAGAGCTACAAAGGACAAAACCAGGCACAACTAGCTCTACGGAAGATCATCAAACATGCCACCAGCAACCAGTCATCTTACACCACAAGGCCGCGCCGTTGCAACTTCGACTTCACATCAACAAACAAACTAAGGCAAACCCGTGGACACACCGGAGAAGAGCCAACTATCTCAACCATTGTTATACTGGTATAGATATAGATATAGAAAGTTTGTCATATGCATGCAAGCATAATTGGAGATATTTTTCTCCATCGATCCCGACCACTTCTTGTGTCGACAGACAGAGGTCTCTCTCAACGGAGACAACTAGTAATATGATCCAGCAGTATGAGGAATCATATACTACAGATCCCGTCAGTGTCGTTAAAGGATAATAATAAAGAAGATCTGAAGTGATGAAAACAAGATGTGATAAAGGTTTCGTGGTGTAGTTGGTTATCACGTCAGTCTAACACATGACCCGACGCTCTGACCAGCTGAGCTAAAAGGCGTCATGATTGCAAGTACTTTATCAAGTTACATTTCTGAATATGGAAAAGGACTTGTATATTATCATCCATTAACGATGTGAAGAAAACAATAAGCAGATCATGGGAATTTCCTTTGGTCCTTATATGCTGATTATGATTCCTCATACTGCTGGATCGATCGTGTGGAGTGCTGGTGTATTGCATTTCGAATATAGGTGGTTTCAATTTATCTTATTTTTTGCGAGTCGACGGGTCGGGTGAAAAATAAACAATGGTTCTATGTTTTATCATTGCATGCATCATTCAGTTGAGATTAAGGAAGGCCACCGACAAGCAACACATTCTGCCATCGATTAGGAGCGTCAGTGCATTACTCTTAAGCAGAATTATTGGTCTCTTTTGAAGACGAAGACCCTCATGAGATAGGCCTATATACCTAGCTAATCGTTGAGTGGTGTGAACACGCGGAAGCAGTCTGATGAGAATGGATGCAAGGTGGATATTGAGAACGGAGTGATGACGATCTTCGACAACCTCCGAAACGTGCTAGCCCGTGTGAATCGCACGCGGAACAGGCTCTATATCCTCAACCTTGATCAATCTCAACCGGAGTGTTTGCTCGCCAAGAGTGATGATGATTCGTGGTTATGGCATGCTAGATTTGGACACGTCAACTTCTACGCCTTGAAGAAGATGTCGAAGATGGAGATGGTATCGAGGATGCCGTTTATCGACCATGTTGATCGAGTATGTGATGGGTGCTTGGTTGGAAAACAGCACCGCAGTCCGTTCCCTGCTCAGTCTACCTATCGTGCAAGTGATGCACTTGAGCTGCTCCATGGTGATCTATGTGGCCCTATCACCCCAGCAACTCACAGAGGAAAGAAGTATTTATTTCTAGTGATAGATGACTACTCGAGATATATGTGGGTCGTTCTCCTATGATCTAAAGATGAGGCGTTTGAAGCGTTTAAGAAGCTAAAGGCTGCAACGGAGATGGAACACAAGCTAAAGGTTCGCGCTCTACGGACAGATCGCGGCGGAGAGTTTACGTCAAACGAGTTCAACGACTACTGCGAGAAGATTGGCATAAAGAGGTTCCTCACGGCACCTTATACGCCGCAGTAGAACGGGGTTGTTGAAAGGCGCAATCGAACCGTCGTTGACATGGCAAGGAGCTCACTCAAGAGCAAGAATCTGCCGGGGACTTTTTGGGGAGAAGCTGTCTCGACAGCAGTCTATCTTCTCAACCGGGCTCCAACGAAGACAGTGATCGGCAAGACTCTGTATGAAGCAATTTACGGACGGAAGCCGAATGTGTCTCATCTACGGACGTTTGGGTGTGTGGCGCATGTGAAGACGGCAGAACCGCATCTCTCAAAGCTTGCCGATCGCAGCACCAAGATGGTGTTCATCGGATACGAGAGAAGTTCCGGCACCAAGGCATACCGCTTCTACGATCCACCAACCAAGCGTCTACGGATTTCACGCGACGTCGTGTTTGAAGAAAACCAAGCTTGGAATTGGAGCACAGCAGCCGACGATGCTCCAAACAGTAACATATTCACAGTTGAATTTCCAACTGATGATGATGCAGGGGAGGACGTTCAGGTGGTTGGCAAGACGCCCAACCAAGGTGACCACAATGGTAGTGATCATCATGGTGCCGACACCGATGACGACGCGCATGGGTCGCAAGGTGATAGCGACAACGACGCGCAAGACACGAGTAGAGATCTCGGCAACGGCGTCGACAACGAGGCGCATAGTGATGATGACAATCAAGATGATGGTCACGATCATGACGACTACGCCGATGACGTGGATGCCAACGACCCGACATCTACCATGCCCGAGACTCAACCATTTTCCTCAAGTGCATCGACGTCGACACAATTTGTGTCGCCTCCTTTGCAAGCCACAACGGATTCTTTCAGGCCTCGTCGCTACAAGACTCAAAAAAGTCTACAAGTACGCAAAGCCAGTTACGCTCGAGTACTCCGATTTGTGTTTACTCGGAGTTGAGGAGCCGGCAAAGTTCGTAGAGGCGAGCAAAAGTTTAAGTTGAATGCTTGCCATGGATGAGGAGATGAAGGCGATCGGGAGCAATGACACATGGACTTTGGTAACCCGACCTCCGAACCAGAAGGCAATAGGTTTGAAATGGTTTTACAAGTTAAAGAAGGACACGAAGGGTGCCATTGTGAAGTACAAGGCAAGACTCGTTGCAAAAGGCTACGTACAACGTCAAGGAGTTGACTATGAGGAGGTGTTTACACCGGTTGCTCGAATCGAGACGGTGAGAGTGCTCCTAGCTTTGGCAACACAAGAGGATTGGAAGGTTCATCATATGGATGTGAAATCCGCTTTCCTCAATGGCGACCTCACAGAAGAAATGTACGTGGAACAACCCCTCGGCTACGAGAAGAAAGACGAAGAAGGAAAAGTTTACAAGCTCAAGAAGGCACTTTACAGGCTAAAGCAAGCGTCAAGAGCTTGAAACTCAAAGTTAGACCAAAGTTTGGTCACACTCGAGTTCAAAAGATGTTCCCTCGAAGATACGAAAGATAATCTACCAAGCATTGAAGAATAGGTGAAGTTTGAAGATGCGATCAAAGGAGAGTATTGCCATCAAACTACGGACGAGCTGACCACAGCAAAGACAATCCCTAATATGCTAGCCAGCTCGGTTTTGTTTGCACGTACTGGCAGAATCGATCAAGCTGCTTGCTTGCTAGCTTGCACATACGTATTTTTGGGTAATTTGATCTAGCAACGATCAAAAGCCAACACGTTAGTGGAGTGTCTGGTGCATGTTTACCGGCTGGGCAAGCAAGCCGATTAAAGGCCGGTTACTTGGAC